CCGATTAACTGCGATAAACCAGGGTTCACTGTATATGGATTGTGATAAGAGTTGTATGAGCCCCTAATAAAATGATTTTTTTTAAAGTGAAACTGAGATTTGGGTCTCTTTTGTCGCCTGCACCCCACCTTGGTGACACTGCTGTCCTGACTCCTCGCACGTGTGGAAAGAATACAAAGCTTGGGGTGTTTGCCCTCCCGTCCGAGGAGGAGAGCACGGCTGTCAGCTGAGGGCACGGCCTTGCCCTCTGCCACCTGTGAAACCAGGCTCGAAATACCCAGAGGACAGAGAAAGCTGTCCTCGCCAAAGGCAGGGGCTGGCAGGGAACCTCAGCCAGGGGGCCACTGCCCCCCCCAACCCCGAGAGAAAGAGGGGGCTTACCGAGAGCAGCTTCCACGTGATGGGACGGACAGGCTTCGGGATCCCAGACCAGCTCAGCTTCCGCAGCTCCTCTGCCAACAGCACGGGGACAGGGAAAAGCACAGTCAGCAAGAGCCAGCCAGCACCCTGCCCAGTGCAGGGTGCCCGGCGAAAACGGGGGACCCTCGTGGTGGGCCCACAGGCAGAGTTCAGTGACCTGCCACCGTGACTAAAGGGTGCCGGATGGCATCCCCGAGGAGAGAGGCTGCGGGGCTGACCACGACGGGGTTCAGGCGCACGGTGGGGTTTCCTGTGTGAGACCAGAGAGGGCACACCTTCCCCCTGCCTCCAAGGGGGGCGTCTTTGGAACCGAGCAGGACAGACGCACGACACACGCATGGGAAGACAGAAGTCACTGTAGAGAGGGACACAGAAGGACTGAGCACAGGTGACCCCTGGCCTGGACGTCCTCCCCTGCCCGGCACCAAGCCCACAGCAAATGCCTGTGCCCAAGAGCCACCCGTGTCGGGAGGGCCATCCTGAAGCCCCCAGAGCCAACTGTTCCCGCCTACACCTTCATCTCCCAGATGACATCCTGGGAGCGTCCTGGGCCAATGAGTACCGGACCCACAGGAGCCAGCTTCCAGCCACTGCCCTCCTCCCAGCTTCTCTCTCTGCCCATCTGTGGGTCAGTCTGTCTGACTGGCAGTGACCTAGGGGTAATGCTCGAACCCCGCCAGGCCCTACGTGCCTCCCTTCCAACTGCAGGTTGGCCAACACCCATCCCATCCCAGAGACGCTGAAGCAATTATTTCTGTCCTATAAGTGAGGGACCCGTCAACAGACACGTCTATAAGCACTAGGAGCTAATGATGAGTACCAGGAAAGAAAGAAATGATTAAAGAGAAGGCGTTGGTAATCTAATCAACAAAATGCAATGTCCTGACATCTAATCTTTTCCCAATTACAACAGCCTAAAATGAAGACAGAGTAATTGGGCAAGAGGAGGGCGGCAGCCGGCGCTCCGCTGTAGTTCCTCCTGGAAGCTCCCCCATCTCATGCCTCCCCCCTCCCCCCCCCATGTCCTGACAATCCCGAGCCGAGCATCTGAGCACCAATCTTGTG